ATTACTGTAACTGTAAATAGTCAGTAAATGGACAGTAAATAGATTTTAAAACAAAGAAACAGTGGTAAAATATGGTTTTAGAAGACCTTCCCAACAGTATTTTGTAAGGATCAGATTGGAATTTAACTGAAATATAGTTAGGGACAGTTAGCTCACCCAAAAATTGTAATTCTGTCATAATTTACTCACCCTTCTTGGGTGGCCAAAACAAGAAGCTCTGGAAAAGAAACAACAGCTCCATGGCAGCAGTGAGTGCGGTCAACGGAGATTTCTGTGGATTTGTGGCACCAGTGGAGCAGCAACTGGTACTTCAGGGAGATCCAGGGGCAGCTCTGGAGCCCGGTCAGCTGACCTACTAGAAGCTCTAGAAATCGTATAAGTATAAATGCATTGTCGTGCTGTTTAAGCTGCTCTGCAATAACACTTCCGAAACGCTAGCTGGCAGTGATGTTTTTATGTTCCTCTGTGTCGAGTTTCTTTGCTGGTGTTTTGCTTTTTCTGAACGCTAACTTGTACAAGTAGCTAAAACTCGATCATTCTGAGGCGGAAACAGGTTGACATGCAACAAATTTAATCATAAGGTAAACACAAAACAAAAGTTTCCATCTGAAGCTCCTTCATGGGACTTGACACTACACTAAACACTCGCTCCAACGGATTCGAGCTGCACTGCCCACACTCGTCATCGCTACCAAGCCAACCAATCATAGAGCTTGCGCTATGCGTCGTTGCAATGTGTAGATAGATTTTTTGAGAAGTGCATGTCAGCATTGGCATCTGCCACAGCAAAGGCTGCACCAGAGCATACACCTGCCCTTGACACAAAAGTGTAAATCAGCCCTAACACTCCTGAAATGCTAGCTGGCAGTGAGGTTTTTATGTTCCTCTGTATCAGGGTTATTCGTGGGTTCTTTGTTTTTTCTGAACGCTACAAGTAGCTAAACGCGCTCAGAGGCAGGAACTGGCAGACATGCAACAACTTTAAAAACTTTAAAACAAAAGTTTTATTATTATTATTGTTGTTATCATGTTTATTTTACCAGGAAAGACACATTGAGATAAAAAAAAAAATCTTTTGCAAGAGCATCCTGGCCAAGACTAGGCAGTATACATGTCACGTAAGTCTAACAGACAACAAACAAAAAACAATTACCAGTTAACATGAATCACACTGACAAACTATTCAAAACATCTACAAACCTGCGTTACAACTTCTAAAACTTTTATTCTTGTGGCAGACCTGCCAGTGTGGTTATCTGCGTCGCTATGGAAACAACTCCCTCACCGAAATCACGCCTCGTCACATGCTGATCAGGGACAGCTGCTGCTTGTTGGAGGGGGAATATTTAACAGACGCCATCGGGGAAGACCGCGAGCATGATGACAGCAGGCAACACACTGAGTTCTCTCCTTCCACTGGGCACCCTGATCGGCACTTCACCCTGCACAATCCTTGGACCCTTGGACCCTGAATTCACCACCCTGCACATCCCAGCACACTTATCCTTTGCTCCACTCCCTCAATAAACACCCTACGGGGATTTAAATTGCCTCTCTGTGTCTGTGTGATCTCTACCTCGTGACATCTTTTAAAAGCATGTAGTGAAATCAATTCTTTGAACTGCAACTGTGTTTGCAGATTATTCCATGCAAAAGGTGCTGCGTACTTAAAAGCCTTTTTTCCCCATCTCAGTCCGCACTTTAGGAACAGACAGTAAATAAATATCCTGAGAGCGAAGACCATAGTTACGAACAGGCTTTTTACAAATATAATTCTGTAGATATGATAGGAGTAAACCCAATATAGATTTGTAAACAAGGATATGCCGATGCTTCGTCGAATGGACGAAGCAGAACAACCTACCCTTGTAAACAGCACACAATGATGAGTTGGGGATTTTAAATTAGTTATAAATCAGTTTTCATCTGGAGCTCCTTCGTTTTTTATCAGAAAAATAATACACACAACCGCATTTACGCATGTGTAAAACATATTTCTAAAGGTGCTGTTGACTTAAAATTTTTTTACCAGATGTCAATGACAACTAAAGTAATCAATACACAAAAAGAAAACAAAACTAATTAGTTTAAAAAATAAGTTAAATACAATAACAATAATGTAATAACACAGGGACAAAGTATAGAACACATAAAGAGAGGTGTAAAGACATGGAAAGCCCAGACAGCAGCCAGTGTCATTCTATTATTATTATTATTCATGATTCTCTCAGATTTTTTTATTTGTATGTTTGGATTGTTTGGGTTTAAACCAAAATCTGAAAGCAACGATGTACAGCCATTTTCAGATCTCTCCAGAGATGTTCAATAGGATTTAGTTCTGGGTTCTGGCTGGGCCACTCAAGGACATTCACTGAGTTGTTGTGAAGTCACTCCATTGATATTTTGGCGGTGTGCTTTGGGTCATTGTCCTGCTGGAAGATGAACCGTCGCCCCAGTCTGAGGTCAAGAGCACGCTGAAGCAGGTTTTCATTCAGGATGTCTCTGTACATTGCTGCATTCATATTCCCCTCTATCCTGACTAGTCCTCCAGTTCCTGCTGCTGAAAAACATCCCCACAGCATGATACTGCCACCACCATGCTTCACTGTAGGGAGGGGATTAGCCTGGTGATAAGCGCTGCCTGGTTTTCTACCAAACGTAACGCCTGGCATTCACTCCAAAGTGTTCAATTTTAGTCTCATCAGACCAGAGAATTTAGTTTCTTATGGTCTGAGAGTCCTTCAGATGACTTTTGGCAAATTCCAAACAGGGAGTGGCTTCAGTCTGGCCACTCTACCATACAGGCCTGATTAGAGAATTGCTGCACAGATGGTTGTCCTTCTGTTAGGTTCTCCCCTCTCAACAAAAGTATGCTGGAGCCCAGACATAGTGACCATCGGATCATTGATCACCTCCCTGACTAAGGTCTTTATCCCCCGCTCACTCAGCTTAGACAGCTCTAGGAAGAGTCCTGGTGATTCCAAACATCTTCCACTTATGGATGATGGAGGCCATTGTGCTCAATGGAACTTTCAGAGCAGCAGATGTTTTTCTATAACCTTTCCCAGCCTTGTGCCTCGAGACAACCCTGTCTCTGAGGTCTACAGACAATTCCTTTGTTTTCATGCTTGGTTTGTGCTTTGACATGCACTGTCAACCCTGCTACCTTATATAGACAGGTGTATGCCTTTTCAAATCATGTACCACAGGTGAATTTCAGTTAAGCAGCTAAAACATCTCAAGAATGATCAGTGGAAACAGAAGGTACCTGAGCTCAATTTATAAATTCGCGGCAAGGGCTGTGAACACTTCTGTAGATTTGATTTTTCAGCTTTTTATTTCTAATAAAATTGCAACAATTTCAAAAAATCTTTTTCACATCGCCATTATAGGGTATTGTGTGTAGAAGTCTGATGAATTCCTTTAAAGCAATACTTAAAACCTGGTAACCAGCACAAAATGTCAATACTTGTAATAACCCCCCCACACCCCACCCCCCCGGGGAAAGACCACCGACCAGACCACTTGGAAACATATTGCTTTTTAATCAGACATTTATATCAATCAAATTGAACATTATACTTCGGAAACTTGATCGTGCTGATGACATTGAGAGTATACTCACGAAAGCAGCGGCCGCAGTAACAACACCACAGAAACGTCACAGTTCAATCAGCCATCAGTCAATATAAAAAGCCAGACAAACACTCAAAATAATAAATAAGCTATTGTTGTTAGGATTTATATACAGCGGAAGAAATCGGTTAGCGGTTTTCCTGAGTATAGCAGAACTCAACATCTTCAAAATACAAGGAAAATCCACCACGGCAAGAAAGGAACGGCGTTCGGCAAGCCATTTTGACATTTATGGCAAGCCGTTTTAAACCGTACTAGTTCTATTTTACTAGTGCTTATTTTTTATATACTAGTATCCATTAAGTACTAGTGCATATTATTTAGATACTAGTGCTTTTTAAAAATATACTAGTGCTTTTTCATTAGACACTAGTTCTTTTGATTAGATACTAGTATACATTCATTAGATACAAGTACCTATTAAATAGTTACTAGTGCTTATGTATGTATTAGATACTAGCACTTATTAAATAGATACTAGCTGTTATTTATTAGATACGAGTACTTTTTTAATAGTGACTAGTAACCATTCTGTCATTACTAGTAATAAATAATTTTCTATTGATTTCTATGGGATCTGTCATCGAGATATCAACTATTCAGTTTTGATGTATTCCAACTGGGACTAGAACATTTTTTTTATGTACTTGTAAATCTATAGGTACTTATAAATTAGGTACTAGTACCTAATTAATAGATGCTAGTACTTGTTCATTAAATCTATCTATTTAATAGGCACTAGTACTTTTTTATTAGATACTATTTTATAGATATTTAATACATGTGTACTAGTATCTTTTAACTAAGCTGTAGCATCTATTTCATAAATACTAATATCTATTTAATATATACCAGCATCTATGTAATAAGTACTAGTATGTATTAAATCGATACTATTATCTAATGAATAAGTACGGTAACACTTTTTGATAACTACACACTATGAACCATTTATTAGGCATTAGTAAATAGTGAAGTCATTATTTGTTAAGCATTAACTCTACATTAATAGATGTTAGTAAGCAGTTTATAACTACAGCTACAAATGCTCTATTCTTGACTTATAACCACATTTATGATGTGCTTAATAAATATACTTTTCTACTTTGTTAATGATTTATTTTTCATTATAAAATTAAGTATTGCATTATTTACAAAACAGTTATTTAAGCATGGTTGGTTTTTAAGATCATTCAGAATGAGTTAGGAAATGATTATTAAACTATTCAAATTAACATTTATAGTTCTTATTATTCAGGCATATACTAATAGTAAATTTGTATGTTAATAAATGCTTTATTAACTCAACTTCATCCAGTTTTGTGACGTAATCTAGTCAGGACTATTTATGCTTTCTAAATCCCTTATCAATGACAATTAAAGGCTCAGTTAAAGTTACACAAGAAAACGAGAACATAAACAACTTTATTCATTTCTGTTTGTTTGAAGAAACTGTATCAAATGAAAAACAAATCTTTGCAACCTTATCTAGAATAAAACTACTGTGCAGTTTAAATTTTGCTTCTTATTAAACTGTTAAATTATTATATTATATCCAATTTTATGTTGTATTTTGACACTCCTGACATTCAGCAATGTTTAAACTTTACAGTAATTTAATTTAATACCGAGCCTTTAATTCTCATTGATAAGGGATTTATAAAGCATAAATAGTCCTCACTTTAGATTAAGTCACAAAACTGCATCAAGTTCAGTTAATAAAGCATTTAATAACATGCATAGTAACCATTACTATACACCTAAATACTAAGATATATAAACGTTAATTTCAATAGTTTATTTATCATTTACTAACTCATTCTGAACGATCTTAAAAACCTCCATCTACTCTTAAATACAAATGTTTTTTGAAAAAATGCGATACTTTATTTAGTAATAAAAAATCAATCAGGTACAAATTATGAAAATACAATTATTAAGCACATTATAAATGTACTTATAAGTTAATAATAGAGCGTTTGTAGCTACTGCTACTAATGTTTATTAATGTAGAGTTAATGCTTAACAAATAATGAATCCACTAGATGTGAATGCTTAATAAATAGATCATAGTGTGTAGTTATTATAAAGTGTTACTATAAGTACTAGTATCTAATTAATAAGTACTAGTACCTATACATTAACTACATAAAAATATGTACTAGTCCCTGCTGGAATACATACTGAATAGTTGGTATCTCAATGACAGATTCCATAGAAATCAATAGAATATGTTTACATTTATTACTAGTAACAACAGAATAGTTACTAGTCACTATTAAAATAAGTACTAGTATCTTATAAGCTAGTATCTATTAAGAATTAGTATCTAATGAATAAGAGTTAGTACCTATTAAATAGATACTAGTATCTAATTAATATGTACTGTATCTACTGTAATGAATAAGCACTAATATCTAATAAAAAAACTAACTAGTGGCTAACGAATAAGCAGTACTGAATAAAATAGATACCAGTATCAAATTAATAAACATAAATAGTATCAAATTAAAAAAAAAACTAGTGTCTAATGAATAAGCACTTATATATATATATTTTAAAAAGCACTGGTATTTAAATTATAGGCACTAGTATCTAATAAATATGCACTAGTACTTAATGAAAAAGATACTAGTATCGAAAAATAAGCACTAGTAACATGAAAATAGATACAAGTACAGGCTATTTATTTAACAGCATGCCATTAATGGCATCCAGTGTGTGTGTGTGTGTGCTTGGCATTGTATCATTCAGTATTGTAAACGCGCACTCACACACTTAGTATAGAAAATAACGTGAATGATAAAACTCATTCCTCATACCAGCTGACTGTTCTACAAAGATAAGGCAAGATGATCTTACACATTACTACGTCAGCAGGGAAAAAAAGCACATGTACTCCAAAAAAATGTTTGAAACTCCAAAATGAATTGCTGATTGCGAGACGTCATATAAAAAGGTAACCGCAGAAATGCCATACGTCAATTTCAGAAACGTGAAGCAGCTTTGAACGTCCTAATACTGCAGGTCATTCATTTTAAACACCGCTACTACATTCAGTCTTGTTTCAATGTCACGGCGTTACAATCATTAATTAACGTCAATCATGCATCAATCAAGTTCGATTCGTCAATAAGTCTCGTGTCAAGGTCACACAATGTCACTTAGGATGTCAAATCGAGAGGATTGTTCCCAGAACAAATAATTCCCGCTGTAAGAACACGCGCCGGGCGCTGGTTTACATTTACACAGTTTTGCTGCAGGATCGTATGGCAGCAGCAGCAGCAGCCACAGCACAACAGGAAACCAGAGCTGCTCAAATTCAGCTTCAGTACACACTAACACTCCAATCACAACCACAGGAGTTAATCAAGCCCCGCCCTCCCACATCTCATTAATAATACAGTTAATAAAGCAGAATGTGCCAGAATGAGATGGAAAACGTGCTGATGGGAATGATAACACTAGGAACACTATCGATCAATGAACTGTTCATTATAGATTAATTTAGGAACATCATTATACACAAAAAATGTTATTAAAATTTCAAAATCTATTGAATAAAAAACATATAATGCTGATTTTGCTTTCATATACATCTAGGGTAAGTAGAAAGTGACAAATCTGAGGCCTTTTCATTGCTTTTCTCTCTTTTTTTGTCCTCTCGCATTTGTGCTTCAAACTTTTCGAGTATTAAATACTACTCAGTGTTATATCCCACCACTGCCTTAAGTGCAGAAATATGAGCAGCACAGAAATGCTCATATTAATCTATAGTGACAATTTAGTCTATAAATACATACAAATCACATAATAAGCACTTTTAGACATTCATAGCTCACTCATTATTTAGTCAACCTCATGTCATTCCAAACCTGAAATTTGTTCACATTTAGAACACGATTTATAATATATTACATATATTTCTATCTGTCCATTGAAAGCCTATAGACCCACAACTCTGATGCATGTAAAGATATCCAAAATGAATCAACATGAATCATGCATCTTAATTAATCTACTGAAGAGACGTAAACACTACATCATTTCTATTTTAGAGTAAGCTTTAATTCGTACATAAATAGTAATAAGGGAACAATGTTTATAGCATTCAAATTTGCTCAGAGAAGCTCACGAATGCTTGCTTGATGTGTGAGAACCAAGGGTTTGGGTTTAATCTAGCATGTCATGTGGCACTTTTGGCCTTCCATACGAACCAACCAGGTTTGTTCTTGTGCATCAAAAGCTTCTGTTTATGTTCACAGATAAATCAAAGCCAGAATTAAACATGTTCATCGCATTAAGTCATTATGTCTCGTGAAGACTTGGATTATAACACTATTTTTCATTTACTGTATCACTTAATGAAAGTTTTAAAGCACCAGAGTTTTGGGTGAATGTGTTTTAACTGAGTGGCAGAATGATTCAAATTTTATTAAAGAAAATCTTCAATGATGTCCCAAAGACTAACTTCAGTCTTCAAAGTCTGGAGCTATTTAACTTTTAAATTATGACAAATTTATTTTGAGGCCAACTAACGTTTTTAAGGGACAGATCATCACCTTAATGTCATTTAAAATGCAGAATTTTTCTTCAAAACTTCACAAAAGCAAATGGTCGCATTAACTGTAAGCAGCAGGAACAACAAGCTTTGGAACAACATGAGGGTGAGTAATTTATCTTTTCATATCTGGTTGAACTATCATCCCACAATAATAAAATTGTTCAAAATGTTCGTAATAGTATGTGCTTTTTAATGCGTCTGAATGCCTGTTAACACGGGTCCATATGGAAGGCTCAGGAGGAGAGTTTGGAGTAACTAGGCGGCGAGAACTTCCGCTTCAGGTATTTGATGATGTAGAGCGGCAGACAGCTGACCAGCGTGATGACACACACCTTCCACAAAAACACCCGTGTTGTGATAAACGAAAGATCTGAAAAAAAAGAAGGAGAGAATAAAACCCCAAAGAGTGTCTCACATTCAGTTGACCTATTGGTAAGCCCCTACAATTCAGCAATTGCAGTTGAGTATCAGTTGCATAGGGATCTGAACTCGGAAATCTTTTATTGCCAAAAGAAACATTGGACGATTGAAAGATCTCATTGTTTTAACAGTATTTACACCAGCAATGATGGTAAAATGATGTAACAATCCTGAGAAGATGGCCAATGGAACTAATTCTATTCCCTGTAATAAAACTAAACAAGACAACTTAACATCCAAAAGATCAACAAAGTTGAATAAACTCTGCTTACATCACCTAAAGTTATTTAATCACAATTGTGATGATTAGCTAGGTAGCATTATTATTATCGAGCTTGCGATTCTCTGTTTTAAACTGGTTAAATGTTAATTAATTTAATAATATTAACCACATGTAAAGTACATGGACAGGGTTGATCTTGGGTGTTGATCATAAGGATTAAAACATAAGTCTTCTTCCTTTAGAGATCCTAACTTTCAAATGAATCATATGATCTATCAGTTTCTTTCTCAAATCTTTAACATATGCTTTCAAGTCATATTTAAGTCCAACTTTAATGATCATGAAACATCTTGGGTTTTTTTAACGGGTTGAAAATTGATCCCAATAATATTTCTTTAACTTTTGAATAAAGAGTTGATTCTAAAGTTTAGAATTGATTCTAAAATGTATCAGAAACATCTTGGGTTTTCACTAGGGTTTGGGAGTCAATTCCAAAAAAAATCGACTCCTTGATTTTGAGGCATTTGAATCAAAAGATGATTCCAACGTTTAGAGTCGATTCTAAAATGTATCAGAAACTTCTTGGGTTTTCACTAGGGTTTGGGAGTCATTCCAAAAAAAGAGATTCCTTGATTTTGAAGCATTTGAATAAAGAGTCAATTACAAAGTTAAGAATTGATTCTAAAATTTATCAGAAACATTTTGGGTTTTCACTAGGGTTTTGAAGTCAATTCCAAAAAGAATTGATTGCTTAATTTTGAGGCGTTTGAATAAAGAGTTGGTTCCAATGTTTAAAATTGATTCAAAAATGTATCAGAACCTTCTTGGGTTTTTAATAGGGCTTAGCAGTTGAATCCAAAAAAGAATTGATTTCTTGATTTTGAGGCATTGAGAATCAAGAGTCGATTCCAAAACGTATCAGAAACATCTTGAGTTTCCACTAGGGCTTAGGAGTCGATACCAAAAAAATTGATTCCTTGACTTTGAGGCATTGAGAATCAAGAGTCGATTTCAAAGTTTAGAACTGAGTCCAAATTGTATCAGAAAAATCTTGGGTTGTCACTAGGGCTTGGGAGGTGATACCGAAAATAAATGATTTCTTGATTTAGAAAACAACTAATTAAAACATAATAATAATAAAAATCTAAAACTGTACTATACTTTTGATTAAAAATATACCACTTTTGAAGGATTCACTTATAAAAATAATTAACTTAAAGGCTCTCCAGATAAAAATCGTAGTAAATCGATTACATAAGGGCAATCTTCTTTTCAGTTTAAAAAAAAAAACTAATTAACAATTTGACTCTCTTTTGCTAGTTATGATCATATACATGTTTCATAAACAGATTCAGTTAATTCGTTTTAATGAATTAAATCAAATAACCATATCCACGATTCTCTTATACCATTGTGTACCTATTTTCTAAACACTGGTTATGGCATGTCATGCTCAATTATCTAAATATAATAACCAAAATTGACATCTACAACATTTCAGTCTTCATTTTATATAAGTTAATGGCGGTTTTAGGCTTTTATGCTTTCATTTATTTACCTAAAGCAAACATTAAAGTAGATAGACAAATAGTGCTTATTGTACATGCATGCTTTACCATTACATGATGTAACTGAATTATAATTACAACAGAAAGTTTTGAGCTTCACTGCATTCTCAGTACTGTCAAAATAGGAATCAGAACCAAACATTTGGGGATTTAAACAGAACTTGAACAGTTTTCACACTAAAAGCAGTCATTGTTAGACAGTTAGCAGCTCTGGATGCCCGAGTTAGCAAAAGTAATTACAGTAAGTGAGCAGGGCTTACCAATAGGTTTACTGTTTTCCACACATTATAAAAAGTAAGAAATGTCAAGCTGTGGATGAAGTGGATGAGATGCAATACACCAATGGGATGTTCTGAAAAAACAAGTGATCACTGGGTTTTGGCACATTTGAATGGCTTGTTCTCATCCACATGAGAGTGAACTCCTGAGGGAGGAGAACGGACATGTTTGTGGAGGCAGGAAATGGTAGCTGGTGAAATAACAGAAAGAACAGTGGGGAAAGACAAACCTACCCAGGAAAGCTCCTAAAGTCACACGACCAATGCCTGAGGCACAGTCACAACAAAGAGACAGAAAAAAAGAACAAGCAAGAGCTTAGACGTTGAGGCTACAGTGCTCTGAACTGGACTAACATGAGGGTTTAGTTTGAACACTGAAACCAGAGCCTACAGTACATTTACTACATAGAGAGATTTTGTTTATTTGACTTTTTAATTAAACTTGAGGAGAAACAGAAGAGAAAAACAGCAGTGTATCATTAATGGTGCAGTGTGAAAAAATTATTAGATAGACAACCAGACAGACAGACAGAGATTAGATAGATAGATAGATAGATAGATAGATAGATAGATAGATAGATAGATAGATAGATAGATAGATAGATAGATAGATAGATAGATAGATAGATAGATAGATAGATAGAAAAAGAAAAACATAAATAAATGGCTAGGCTAAACTAAAATTTAAGTGATTAAACAACCAAAAAATGAAATTAAAGTAAAATAAACAGGTAGACAAAAAAGTAAATAAAACAAAATAATTAAACAAATGACCAAATAAATAACTAAAATAAAAATACATATGTAGATCAATAAAACGATATAGAATAATTAAGTAGAATGGGTAATAAATAGTACTGGACAAAAATTATTCACAATTAATTGCATCCAAAAATCAAGTTATTTTTGACATAATATATGTGTGTATGTGCATTAAATTGATGTAGTATATAATGCATATGTGAAACACAAAAATACAAAGAAACACAACTAAACAAAACTATTTTGTTACATAGATATTACATTTATATACACTTTGCATCATAGACACATATTTCATATCTAAATATTATTATGAAATAGGCGTGTGTGTGTGTGTGTGTGAGTGTGTGTGTGTGTGTGTGTATTTATGCAGACATGATAAATATACACAGTACACACTTAAATTATGTCAAAACAACATTTTTTGCACAGCACTATTCATAAACAAATTGCAAAAATATATGAACAAACAAACGCAAACAAATTAAACAAATAAGTAAGTAAATAGACATTTACGTTTAAATAAAATGAAACAAATATGTAGGCAGGTGAATAATAAGAAATATTGGAAAAATAAAAACCTTCAAAACTCAATTAATCAATTGGTAGACATGTACTGTAGTTATATAACACATTTAAATAAACAAAAAAAATCACTAAAATCAAATAATAATTGGATTAACTAAAAAAATTAAGGTAAGTGACTGCAAACTATTTAAATGGGCTGCATTTAAACAAATAAATTAAATTGAGTAATGTTAAACTTAATTTGTTAAAATTCAGCTAATATCAATAGTTATACCTAAATAAAATGCAGTAAATGCAATTATTATATATTATAAAAAATTAGAAGATGTCAAATGTGTTGTCAGTTCTTACCAAAGTATTCATTGAGGAAGGCGAGGGAGGCGAGGTAGCAGGCCAGACTGATGAGCTGTGCTACGACCATGAGCCAGTGCCACGTGCGGATAGTCAGCGCCACCATCAGGAGCTCAGTGAGGATTAGAGCAGTGAAGGAGATCGCAACCACATGAACAAACTCCTGATCAAACAGCACCAGCGCTCCGTACATCAGGATGCCCCCTGGTGGACGCACAGAGGACGTGTTTCAGACAGGCTAACAAGGACTAAGATAACGCGGTCACTTTAGCATTGAGAAGAGAATAAAACACGTGCCTCAAACATGGATCATAAAATGCTTGAGTATGTGATAGCACTTGATGAAAGATTGTACTTTATTAATGTACTAGAGGAATTGTATTTTATTTACTGTAAGTTGGCACCCTATCCCTGTTTGAGTTTTTTTCTTCAGTAAAGGAAAAAAAAACCCAACAAAACAAAAAAAAAAAAAACAGCATTTTAAAGAATGAAAAAATTAAATAATAAAAAAAATAAACATTGACTTTCACCGAACTAGCTTTTTTGTAAACAATGTCTCTCATCTAATATATCTACTAAAAGTCTGGAAATATTACTTTACAAACTGTATTGTCAGGGTTTTTGTAGGTTTCATCAAGTCAGATTTAAGACATTTAAAGATTATTTTTTCTTTTAATGGAAAAGGAAAGTATTTTTACTTTCCTCATCAAAATGGCAAACAAATTTAGTTATTTTTTAGCCCCACATTTTAAATAGTTTGTCAAAACAAGCAAACTCAGTTAGTTTTGTTACATAGTTTTAGTAGGACTAATCAAGAAACAAATTATTTGATTTCATAAATATTAAAGTATAACATTAATTAAAACAAGGTTATGCATAAGATGTGGTTGTGAAAGCAAATTTTCATTTGAATTATGTTCAGAGCTCCATAGTTTAAAACATTCAGTTAAACAATAGTATAAGATCGCGCACACACACACACACACACACGTGCGCACGCACACGCACATGCACACGCACAGCTCCCTAAATAAATAGGTTATAAAATACACAGTTGATCACTTAGGCCTATAAAAATTGTATTAAAAAAACTGCACTGAAAGAAAAAAACACGAGAAAGAATGCCGCTTTGAAACTTATTTTCTCAAAGTGCTTTAATTTTAGACAGTTATTTAAGATTTTTGAGTTACAAAAAAAAAAAATAGAGTTAACCTACAAGAGAAATTTTATGTCGGGTCGGGATCTGAGCAGTATTGGCTTATTGGTGAGTGTGAGCAAAATGTTAACTTGATTTCTAGTTGATCATTTGGTACTAGAAGTGGCTTATATGAAAGGCAAAGTGCTCTAGATTACTCTTATTTTTATCAAAATAAAATATGATCATGCCGTGATTTTTGATGATTTAATTAGGACAGTAAGGTCTGACTTTGCTCAGACAAAAATTTTGTTACTTAACAGAAATAATTTATAGAATAAAATGTAAAGTCATGGTGCAGTGGGAAAATAATAATATTGTGTGAGAGGCAGACTCCCATGGGTAAGAAAGCGTTCTTACAGGACTCCCAGAGTTCATCAAGATTCTTTGGATTCATCTTCAGTGTCTTCTTCTTCATCTAACCCCAGACAGGCTCAATAATGTTCATGTCTGGTGACTGGGCTGGCCAATCCTGGAGCCCCTTGACCTTTTTTGCTTTCAGGAACTATTCTGCTGAACAATTTGCCCTCTCCCGTGGTTTGTAATGTAATGGGCAGCACAAATGTCTTGATACCTCAGGCTGTTGATGTTGCCAACAACTCTGCAAATCTTTTGCATGCCCCCATACTAAATGTAACCCCAATTCATAATTTTTCCTTCTCCAAACTTGACTGATTTCTGTGAGAATTGCAAGTCTACGTGGGTTCCAATACGTCTTCTGCAGTATTTGTGATGATTGTGATGCAGTTTAACAGATGATGGTCAAAAAATCTACCCTCTGCTACTTTTCCAAATGATAAACTGGAAGTCAAGTTAATATTTGTTGCTCTTACAACTGAGATTGACGACAAGACTTCTGTAGTGTCCAGGTCAGTGCCCTCAACAGGTAGCTGTAAATATATGAAGAACTTTTAAACAATTGTTACTGTAAGGAAGATAATTAAACCATACTAGTAATAAAGTTCAAAATGAAAAATTTAAATTTTTTTAAAGTTCTATTGAGATGGATTGCTGGTGATTGGATGGGTGTCGGTGCTATTGAGTAACTTCAAGACCTGTTTTAAACGATTTAAGACCTACAAAACAATATATCAGTAATTTCTCAGTAATTGTTTTGTTTTTGTAATTTAAGAGATTTTAAGATGTAGCACACACCCTGAACGTACGGATTTCATTTAAATGTTAAAATATTATTCAGTAATATTACGGAATTTAATAAATGTATATTTACAGTACACACATTTGCATAAGTAAATAAACAGACTCAATAATGGGCTAAAAAAAAAATCTGCGTCCACCACTCATAGTCTGGGACCTGATTCACAGATGAGCGCGTGGAGCCCTGACCTCCGCTCGCGAGACTCCACGCTCGCTCGGCTCCTCAGCCTACTGTAACCATCTCTGCTTTCATTTTAATCATAAACGCCAGCGCAATCCAGCCTAATGGCCTCTAACTGATCACATAATTGCCTCTCTTCATACAGCGAACATTCCTCAGGGTTACTCTCTGGACTAAATGAAATCTTCGCTCATATTTCCCTGTTGTTCTTGTCTCTCTGTATTAAGGTTTAATTAAAAAGCAGGAGCTGTCAGACGGGGACACTGATCTCTCTTGCTGGCCGCGCGGATCGATTTACAGTGCGGATAAGGCAGGCGTGTGTGCGTGAGAGCTGGCGACGGGCCGAAAATCACATTCATGAAAAGAGCAGCGCTGAATTCGCTGGAGACATGTTACATTGGGTTTGACTGTTTATTTCTTTGATGAAAAGTTTGCGGATTAATTCATGGAGGAAGACTGCTGGTGTCTGTTTATGGTTTGTTTGTAGATGGCATCTTATCTTGGAAAGGACTGGCAATTTTATTATGTTTACATTTTCCTCATGTTTGTTCAGTATAGTTAGCTTTTGTGTCACTTCTTGTGTGGTTAAAGATTAAATCTCACAAGAGAAAAAAATTCCAGACTAAAAAACAAAACAAGAAACGACAACACACATCTATCTATCATTACTATTTATATCATATACTAAATGCTATGCAAATTCTTACTGTGTATCCATACAAATATGCCCAGATACAGATACAGTCAAAATTATTAGCCCCCTTTTAAATGTTTTTTTTTTTCCTTTTTAAATATTTCACAAATGATGTTTAACAGAGCAAGGAAATTTTCACAGTATGTCTGATGATCTATTTTTTTTCTGGAGTAAGTCATTTGTTTAGTTTCAGCTAGAATAAAAGCAGTAAAAAAAACAAAAAAAAAAAAAACATTTTAGGGTCAAAATTATTAGCCCCATTAAGCTCAAAATGTTTTGATAGTCTACAGAACAAACCATTGTTATACAATAACTTGCCTAATTACCCTAACCTGCCTAGTTAACCTAATTACCCTAGTTAAGCCTTTAAACGTCACTTTAAGCTGTATAGAAGTGACTTAAAAATATTTAGCAGAATATTATGTACAGTCATCGTGGCAAAGATAAAATAAATCAGTTATTAGAAGTATTATGTTTAGAAATGTGTTGAGAAAATCTCTGTTAAACAGAAATTGGGGAAAAAAAATAAATAGGGAGGCTAATAATTCAGGGGGGCTAATAATTAATAATCAATCAATCAATCAATCAATCAATCAATCAATCAATCAACGTAGTTGGAAGGTTACTATGAGTTTACCATTAAAATAGTAATACTGTTCATGCTTTTACCTTGATATATACTTATCAAAACCCAAATCAGGAAGGTCTTAAAGGACAGGGAGCGACCCTAGAGGAGGAAAACCAAAGTCAGCATCACAGTCATGCAGCAAACACAAACCCATGCCTTTATTTCCCTAACACACAGTACATCATGTGTATCATGCAGATAGTCTAGCTGATGGTTAGTACTAATCACTACTGCTGTTAGTCTGACATGTTTTTTTTTTTACCTTAGTGAGGTCTTTATAGAGCTCAGGATACAGCAGAGCCATTTCAGGCTTCACATCCTGATCCAGCACCAGAGAAAAGACAGGGAACATGGTGTAGATGGTGGCATAACTGAGAACAAATGGGCATAATGTTACAAAATGTGGCATGTCTTGTTCAAAGGCATCTACAATGTATAAAAAAAAGAAAACAAACAGCTTTTACTTACCCTACCATAAGGAAACCTTGATAGAGAGGAACAGATGCGAAGTAGAAAATAGAGGAAAACACAGCCTGAAAAGAAAGATATTCATTTAAATTGAGATGTTAGCACTTCAAATCTGCACATTAGCATAGCAGGGATGACTTTGGTTGCTGTATTTGCATGTGTTGTGAGACTTTGTGTGCATGTGGATTGTAAATTAATAAAGAGGTATTCTTAATTTATTACTGTTTTTGGTCACATTTTATTTTAAGGTGTAATTCTTGCAGTAACAAAACACTTACTAAGGCTTTTTGCTCAATAAAATTTTCTATTTTGCTGCTTATTAAAAATTATTAATATATATTGGTAATATGTATTGTGTAGGGTTAGAGATGTAGAATAAGACCAGGCAGAAGTATTGAGAAACAGTCAATACTTTAATAATAATCAGGTAATAAGCCACAAGTTAATAGTGAAAATTGGTCCATATACTAAAGTGGAATCGTGTTTTTTTTTATATGCATGTGTTTTCTTAACTTTAAGAGCTTTTGCAACGCATTTGAGCTTTTAGCCAATAATTTTGACATTATTTGACGACCATTTAAATTATCAAATGAAGCACAAGAACATGTAAAAGACAACTCATAAGACACACAAACAAAGTGCAACTATTGAGTTTTCTGCGTTTTTTGTACTTTACTCTGAAAAAAAACCCAACAACATAAAATGCATTAAGTTTGTAGCACCAACGACAAGAAGACTCTTAAGAAGAAACTTTGGCAGGACTGAATAGTCTGAAAAAAAAATTTGAGCATTGATATCTATTACAACGTTGATATTTTTTGCTATATAACCACAGATTTTAAAATATAAATTACATTCTTCATGTGTTGTGTGTGTGTGTTACCTGCATGGTTGAGATGATCATGCCACGGTGCATGACAAACTGGCCCAGAGCTGCTGAGCGTTTGTAGCTGTTTCTGCCGTGCACCATCAACAGTCTGCCGATGTGCTTGAACTGGGTTATGGAGAAATCTGCCGCCAAAGAAGCCTGCTTTCCTTCCTGAAACGATGGTTAAGAGTCACTTTAAAACTGCATCATGCACCACATTCTAGAGTATAAAAGGTTATATTCTTACTTTGTTGTTATTTATTGAATAAGTATGTGTTTTTAGGCACATTTATGTACTGTAAGCATACAACAATGTTGAGTAAACACTATTTTCTTTGACAAAAACCATAACTCGAAAAATATAAGATTGTGAAGAGCATGCTACAGCATAATATTTGACCAAAATCAACAGTGATATATATATATTTCTTTTTTTTCTTGTTTAAACTATTGTTTGATATTAAAATGAGAGGTTTTGAATTATGACATTATTTTCATGATATTTTCATGAGCCTTGTCTGGGTTAGTTGGCGTTTCTGTGTAGAGTTTGCATGTTCTCCCTGCTTTCACGTGGGTTTTCTCCGGGTGCTCCTGTTTCCCCCCCAGTCCAAAGACATGTGGTACAGGTGAATTGGGTAAATTGTCCAGTGAATGAGTGTGTATGGATTTTTCCGAGAGATAGGTTGCAGATGGAAGGGCATCCGCTGTGTAAAACATATGCTGGATAAGTTGGCGGTTCATTTTGCTGTGGTGACCCCAGATTAAAAATGGGACTAAGCCAAAAAGAAAATGAATAAATAATTGTTTGTATTCAAAACTTTATTATTATTATAGTTTTACATATTTGCAATGTCTGTATTTTGGATTTTTTTTGTAGTCCACTTAGAATCTAACATGGAAATCATTTTTGTTTGTTATTGGCATTGATTGTTTTGAAATTCAAATTGCACTTACATGCCTGTGTTTTTATTTCTGTAAAAAAAATATGGCTTTTCACAATTAATCATGGTTAATTACAAAAAAAAAAATTAAGATTAATAGAATAAACAGTTTTTTTATCGTTTGACAGCCCTAATATATATATATATATATATATATATATATATAAGCAATATATAAACAATAAGCTGAAACTCACACAAATAAAGGTAATCCCAATTTATTTAGAGGTGTAAGTGTGACTCATTAAAGATGAATTTACAGATGAGCCTCATTAAAGATGAAGTTACAGCAACAGGAAAAGCCAATCTACACTAATGAGAAAAACCTCACCTTTCCTTCAATACCGATACCACAGTCTGCGGCTTGGATCATGCTGACATCATTTCCTCCATCGCCTGAGCACACAGATAAGAAAGATGATAGTGTGAAAACATGAGAAGACACTGTGAAGACAGTCATCTTTACCTCTCTCAAACATTCATGTGCCTGGAGAGAGTTTGGTTTAAGAGGGTTTTGTCTCAGCTACTGAAGGCAGGGAAAGCTCAACAGACTGAGGAGAAAAGTGGAGAGTGGACTGACCAATGGCGCACGTTCTGTTGGCTGTATGTTGCTGTAACAATCGAACAATCTGAGCTTTCTGTGTAGGAGAGCAGCGGCAGCAAACCACAGCCGGGCACTGACAAGCCAACTCCACAAATTCATGCTCATAATAACGCAGACAGACCTGATGGGACACACAGAGAAAGGAAAAAATAAGCAGAGTGACTAAAGCTATGCTTACACTAGTGCCAATTATTTTTTTCCATAAAAAATATCCTCATTAACACTGACATTTTCACTTTTTACTAAATGGCCAAAAAGTAGCCATAAAATTATAGTACAAAATTGTAGCTATAATATAATATAATATAATATAATATAATATAATATAATATAATATAATATAATATAATATAATATAATATAATATAATATAGGGTGTCATGGAGGCACAGTGGGTAGCACGATCGCCTCACAGCAAAAAGGTTGCTGGTTCGAGCCCTGGCTGGGTCAGCTGGTATAAGCTAAATTGGCCGTAGTGTATGTGTGTAAAAGAGTGTGTATGGGTGTGTCCAGTGTTGGGTTGTGGGCGGAAGGGCATCCGCTGCGTAAGGCATATGCTGGATAAATTGGCGTTTCATAACCGCTGTGGCGACCCCTTATTTAATAAACAGACCAAGCTGAAAAGAAAATGAATCTAATAGTTGAAAAATGGGTAGGAAGAACACTTTAATATCGTCATGTCGCTTGAGATCTGATCATTTAGAAATATATAAGGGGTCACTAATTTGCTAAATTATTTCACTTTTTTTTACTGTAATTATATAATATGGCGTGATGTATTAAATAATTTACAAATAATATGAAAACGATTTATCATCATTGCTGAACATTTGTCTTCATTCATTCATTTTCTGTTCAGCTTAGTCCCTTTATTAATCTGGGGTTGCCACAGCGGAATGAACCACCAACTTATCCAGTATATGTTTTACACAGAGGATGCCCTTCCAGCCGCAACAAATCACTAGGAAACATCCATACACACTTATTCACACACATTCACTAAGGACAATTTAGCCTACCCAATTCACCTATAGCGCATGTCTTTGGGCTGTGGGGGAAACCATAGCACCGGGAGGAAACATGAGGAGAACATGCAAACTCCACATAGAAATGCATACTAACCCAGCCGAAGCTTTAACCAATGACCTTAGTGCTGTGAGGTGATTGTGCTACCCACTGCACTTGTATTCATATAGTGCTATTTATTAAAATAAATTAATGCTATTAACTTAATTACATGTCATGAACCTAAAAGGGGGCTTCAGTTACATTACAGAGGAAAAGTTAAGTTAGCAAATCCTTTAAACATTACCTGTATTCAGAACAGATAAAAAAAATCTGAAAATATAATTATATTACTACTATAAAATTATTATTATATAGAACGATTATATTATATTGCATAATAGTATAGCTTTCATTTATTATATTATATTGCATAATAGTATAGCTTTCATTTTAAAAAGCATAGGTCTTCTTGCTGTGAGGCAACAGGGCTAACCACTGAGCCACTGTGCTGTATTTTGGCCCATCTAAAGTGACATTTTTTCAATGGTTGAAAAATCCTGACTAACATGAATGCCAGGCACAACCGTCGCAAAAGTTCTCATCTCATCTCATTTTTGTCTGCTTTTCCGAGGCAGCAGTCTAAGGAGAGAACCTCAGACTACCCTCTCCCCAGACACTTCCTCCAGCTCTTCCAGGGAGATTCTGAGGCGTTCCCAGGCCAACCGAGAGACATAGTCCCTCCTCTTGTAGGCGAGAGTAAGAACATAGATTGATCGGTAAATCGAGAGCTTTGCCTTTCAGCCCAGCTCCTTTACCACAACAAACCTATACATACAGTAGACCACATTACTGCTGCACCAATCCGCCTGTCAATCTCGCGTTCCATCCTTCTCTCACTTGTGAACAAAACCCATAGTGCTCTACTGAAAAAAGGTGGTTTGCCATCTCCCTGTTGGAGGAAAGTCCTTACCCCAGGTGGAGGAGTTTAAGTATCTTGTAGCAAAAGTTGAGCATTTTAAAATGAAAACTGCAAAGATTTCTTAAATCAAAACAGATTGTACATGATTTTGCTGACAATTTGTAAGATTTTTACCTCTAGAGAGTCTCCTGATATGACCAGGGCACAGTCGTGTTTCCTCCTGAAGGCGTTCAGCTCTAGATGAGCTTCGCCTCTGTTGGACACCTGCCACAAAAATACAAAGCACTTCCAATTTAACCACAAAGTGTTCACACTAAATTCATTTATCTTTAAATCCAGATCTACCAATGCTTTGAATCCTACCGGTTTGAAGACATGGATGTCTTGATTTCTGGACACTAAGTGGGAGCTTTTGGCGATACATGTCGCAGTTTCAAGCTTGTCTCCTGTCAACATCCAAATCTGAAAAATAATGAAGAAGCCAAAGCCCAATCATAAACCTTTAAAGCCATAAATGTAAAACAATAGGCAGAATTTCCAATTTACTATAATTTTATGTAAAAAAAGTTTATGTATATAGAAGGATCATTATATTGTAGGAAAGACAAATCAGTTAAACAATATTTAAATCTGTCCCCCCCAAAAATGTCAAGCTATCGGTGTTTGCGGATTAATGAATGTGTTTCTGAACTAATTGAATGAGTCGATGATTTAATGGTCTTTATTCTCAATGAATCTGTCATTTTAAAGAATGAGTCAGTAAAAAAAGAAACAATCTGCCACCACCTAGTGGACTTTTTACTTGAACATAAAAAAAAACACTGAATTTTAGTCGTATTATGATTCATGTCTACTTTCTATGGAATTTTTAAACACTTTTTAAATTTAGTTTATCCTGAATTCATTTGACTAAACTTTAATCAACTGTTCATGCGATTTAATATATTAGTGTGACATAATTTAATGTAAGACTAAAACTAAAAACGTACAATTTAAAGATTCTTACATGTACTATCTACAGTATATGACAATCTGTAAAAAAATTCTCAGCAAATAAAACACAGAAATATGGATGTTTTAAAAACGCTAAAAAAAAAAAAAAAAAAAAAAAAAACAGACATTTGAACATCAAATGTGATGCTGTGGGCTTGACAGGGTTAAACTTCCAATATGCTTGAATATGCATGTTGTTTGGCATTACCTTGATGCCAGCATTACGGAGGAGCTCCAGTGTGGGCCTGACATCAGCCTGCAGCTGATCTTCCACTCCAGTGAGACACAGAAGCTCCATCTCTCTCTCCAGACTCTCCACCACTGCTGCCACTTTCAGATTGCGGTCATGGATGCTCAGCTTTGCTTGATTATAACGATTCTAAAAGAAGTCGGTGAATAAAGTGGGTTCTAAGTTAAACTTAATATTTAAAGGTTACAGGGTAAAATAATTTACAAATGTGCTATCCACTTGAAAATACAGCTGAAATATTGTTAGTATTTATAGATTTAATGCTTAAATATTTTTATTTTGGACTTTGATACTTTGAAACTACATCATATCCTTCATGGCTTATATCAGAGAGTATTTTTATTGTACTTTGCTTTTTTAAAGATACAATGCCTTCATAATGGATTTGTTATGATGATTAATGAATGGTGGATGATACCCAAGAATTATATTTCTCTTATTAATAGCACTTTTATTTTATTAATAAAGTGAAATTAAAGGTAATTTTTTTTTTTCAAAAAAAAAAAAAAATTTGTAAAAGATTAAAATGTTAATAACCGAAGTTTTAATTAAATTTTTTTTTTCAGGTCTACACTGTTTACGGGTCTACACTGTGACTTCATTGGTTAATAAAAGCATTATCATTTCCTTAACATTTAGGCAAAATATAGGACTTAAGTTGTAAAACCTTTATGATGCACGGTGTCCACATTTATAGACAGTTAATTTAACTTAATTTAAGGTTCATTAATTATGGTAGTTTTCTCCAAATCACTTCAAGGCAGTGTCAGTAGACTGTCAGCAGTATTGTCACAGTGGCTACTCTCTGGCATTCCAGTTATTTTTGCTTGATGACAACATTGATCCAAGATGGCTGACAGTGATGGCCGTGTGCTAAATGCTTCAGGAATATCTGTGAAAACTTTTATTCAAGGAGGTCAATTGAGGTTGAAAAGAAAATATCAGTATGTGCAGTAAAGTATGATGAATAAGTTAGTAATTTATAAAATAAAAATTTGGATTAAATGTAATTTTTATCCACCAAAAACCAACTGTCCATGTGTGGACCTCATGCAACAGAGGAGTCAGGCTGCATAAAAGTCCTTTTTTCTGTAACCTGTTGGTATATCTATTCTATTTTTTCAAAGATGTTACAAATTGTCTTATATTGTAATAAAACAGACATTTAACAAATATAACACAAACAAACATCAACATGAATAGTCATTTAAAATAACAGCATTAAATGGCAATTTTACACATTCATTTGGAAACAAATTTGTATTTTGCCTTCTAAACAGGGAAAGAATAGGTCATGAAGTCAGTACAGAATAATTGAGAATATTCCAGAGGACAGTCGCAGTGACGAGTATGTGCCAGAAAATAACATACCCATACTGCAAACCTTTATGCATATATATATATATACTGCATATACTGTATATAACTGCTGTAATTATTGTTTCTACAATATGTGTTTTATTGTGTATTATATTGTACTTTTATTGTTTTTAATAAATGAGCTAATATGAATAGAATAATTGGCTATTAAAAACCACAATAGTCTAGATTGTCAGCTGTCTTTGGTTATTTTACACCTTTGTTGCATGGTGTCCACGTATGTGTTAAATAATTTCTAATTAAAACTAAATTTAGTAAAAATGAAGATGGATTTTAATTTTAGTGTCATATTAAAGTTAATGTTATAAAAATAATATTTAAAAAATCCAGATAATCGATTTCATAATTCATGATTGAAAGGGTAATACACAAAAACTATATTTTTGATATTATTATTCAATTCAATTCATATTTATTTGTATAGCACTTTTAAAATGTAGATTGTGTCAAAGCAGCTTAACATAGAAGTTCTAGTAAATTGGAACTGTGTCAGACCAGTTTTCAGTTTTAGTTCATTTCAGTGGTTTAATTTTCACTGCTGAAAGTACAACACTGAAGAGCAAATCCATCGATGCGCTGCTCCACAACTCCCAAACCAAGCAAGCCAGTGGGGAGGAACACAACTTCACCAATTCATTTTTCATTCATTTTTTTCTGTTAACACTTATTGTACTAGATTTTGAATTTATTGAATTGGTTAGCCCCTTGAGATGAACCATCTCATTTTGGAATGGGTTCCTAAGAAGTTCATAAATGAAACAGAGTACATCACGTCATAACAAACACACAGCTAACAAAGCAAACAAACAAATCGCAAACATTTGAAACCAACATTTATAACATTTACAAGTTGTTTCCAAAAAAAAAAATTATAATAATAATAATTATTCCTGAAAAGACTAAATGTCTTAATTGAAGTAAACAAAAAAAAAAAAAAAAGAAGAAGATTGTTTCAGTCAAAAGGAGCTTTGTATTGAAAGGACCTACGGCCACTTTCTGTTGTAATTCTGTTGCATAGGTGGAAGAGAATTTGAAGAGGAAGATGGAGCAAAAAAATTATTTAAATAAGAGGGGAAACTACAATAAACACACTTAAAAAGAAGCAAATACCAATGATATTATCTGCGGAACTTAAGTTGAAGCAAACCTCAACTTAGCTTAAGATTCGTTTCATATGCAAAGATGGGTTCTATAAAGACATCTTAAAACAAACCTACATAGAGAATTGAAGACAGTATTTAAAGGTTTTAAATTAATATCAGATGTATTGTTATAAATAATATCAGCATAATCAATAATAGGGAAAGGTAATTGAGAAATAATTTTTTCTCTTGAAATGAAAAATAATTAAAAGAATGATAAATAGAACCTAAGCATCGCTATGGCTTTTTAATTATAAAATCAATACGGGATTTAGATTAGACTAAAATGTTAAAGTATTAGTTAACCTCCAGAATACACTAATCAAATACTTTTTTTGTCTCATAACTGCATTACTTTTACAATTTTAAAATGAGACAAATGAGAATAGGAGTAAAATATGGAATCAGTTTAGTCTCAAAAGAAATTCATGCAAAAGACACAATGTACACATGCGTAGCCAAATTCACGTGCATAAAATCAAATTTACGTGCGTAAAATATTTACTTATATTCACAAAAAATTTTCACGTTCTCAAAATAAAAATACATTTTCATAAAATACGTTTCACAAATGCAAAACACCATTTGCAAATATATAAGAGTGTACAAAAAGTTTTGAATGTTTAAAACTTGCGAGTTTATCCTGAATGAGAATGTGCAAATCCTCTTTCACGTACGACTCCCCCTGGATACGTGTGTGTGTATTATTGAGACTTTCCTGCCAGAGCCAGGGTAACTCGTACCTTTCAGCCAATCAGATGAGAGCTGTAGTCAATGACACCAACTCTGCGCTTCATTTGTGCGGACTGTTTCTCTCCAGCATGGCGAACGGAGAAAGCAGCAGTCGCACTTTTTTCATTTATTTAATTATTTGACCATAGCCTCACTCTTTTTATCCATTATTTTGCCGCAGCTCCGCTCCTCTTATTTATTGTCTCGCAGCCTCATGAGCAGAATATTCATTGGATATAATCAGGGCCAGAGTGGGACTCCTTTTCAGCCCTGGAGTTTCAAGCCTTTGACCGGCCCACCTCAGTTCACGACTGACTATATTAAAATAAGGTCATTTCCAATTCAGTTTCTAATTACACTATTAAGTCTTTTTAAAGAAAACAGCTGCTTTAGAACTTCAAATGTTCAACAACCTTACAGTTTTATGTCTTAACAATAAAAATGAAAAAAAAAAAAAGTTAATCTCTAGTGAGGATCGAACACGGGTCGGCGGCTTGATAACGCAACGCGCTAACCGCTAGACCACAATGACACTGCTGTGCTTGCAATACCGGCAGCTGCGGCAAAATAATGGATAAAAAGAGTGAGGCTATGGTCAAATAATTAAATAAATGAAAAAAGTGCGACTGCTGCTTTCTCCGTTCGCCATGCTGGAGAGAAACAGTCCGCACAAATGAAGCGCAGAGTTGGTGTCATTGACTACAGCTCTCATCTGATTGGCTGAAAGGTACGAGTTACCCTGCCTCTGGCAGGAAAGTCTCAATAATACACACACACGTATCCAGGGGGAGTCGTACGTGAAAGAGGATTTGCACATTCTCATTCAGGATAAACTCGCAAGTTTTAAACATTCAAAACTTTTTGTACACTCTTATATATTTGCAAATGGTGTTTTGCATTTGTGAAACGTATTTTATGAAAATGTATTTTTATTTTGAGAACGTGAAAATTTTTTGTGAATATAAATAAATATTTTACGCACGTAAATTTGATTTTATGCACGTGAATTTGGCTACGCATGTGTACATTGTGTCTTTTGCATGAATTTCTTTTGAGACTAAACTGATTCCATAGTAAAAGGCTAAAATGTTAATAGCAGAAGTTGTTTTTAGACCTAATATTTATTAAAAAGTTGGACAAAGGAATAATCAGCTTTATTAAAACAACAACAACAACTAATTATTCACCAAATATAAATTAATGATTAATCAACAAAAGAAAAACAAAGCAATCATTAGCTACAGCCCTAATACCATACCTCAAAATCCTGATACTGCTCTTCAGTCAATGATTTCTTAGCCACCACCAGTGTCCGCAGGCCTTCTCTAGCCATGTTTCCACACTGAGAAAACATAATGTCATCTGAGCATGTGAGTATTAGAACAATGAACTCAATTGGTATACAGAAAGCATGAGCATAGGAATATAAACAATGCTTTTAACACAATTGTATTTACTAGAAACATCAAAACACTGCCACACAGACAGCTATTTGCACGCACACGCACGCACACACACACACACACACACACACACACACACACACACACACACACACACACACACACACACACACACACACACACACACACACACACACACACACACACACACACACACACACACACACACACACACACACACACACACACACACACACACACACACAAACACAAACACATACAAGAAGGATCAATCATAAAAAATACACAGTGCCTGTGGGAGCAAACTGTACAAGATGTGGGACAGCAATTTATATTTAATATGAAAATGCAACAGGCGAAAGTGATGCAGTGATTACTTATTGACCTGTCCTCATAGCGGCGTCTATAACACAAACACAGGCACAGCGCATTACGAACAGGCCGCTGAGGAATATGACATGATGCTCCCAGTCATAGCGCTTTATTGAGGTCATTCATTAATTAATAAGCCTCATCTCCGCCCTTCATCGACTACATATTGCCAATACGACTGTAATCATCAAAGCGAGAAATGCATGTGTGATGATGAGCTGAGCTGATTGTCCTTGATCACTAAGGCTAGGACAGGGCGACCTGCTTATTATGCGTTGTAGCGCTACCTTATGAAATGTGTTGATTCTTAATTCAACAGGGATCTGGTCATAAATGCATTCATACAAGGCATTCAATTCAATAAAAAACTGCTAAAATGTCAAACATGCAGCTTTTATGCATAAGTGCCACACTTAAGCCCCAGTCAGATCACATAAATTTGTCACGATTTCAGCACGATTTCCTTGATGTAGGGTGTCATGGGGATTAATAACAACAAATGGGCACCGTGACACAAGATTAAACAGTTTCTTGCGTAATATGGCATAGTTCACGACAACCAATACCATGTCTGCACAACACCATCCCAGAAAGTCTAGCATGTAGAATTTTTTTCTCGCTCTACATGAGGAGTGATGCCACGTGATTGACACTGTACAATAGAAGCACATCATTTCTCAGTTATATGAGAGGGTCCAGCTGTTAATGCGCTGGGCAGGTAACCAAAAAAATCAAAAATACCGCAGAAGACCTTATGGAACCTGCATGGACCTGAGATTCTCAAAGAAATCAGTCAAGTTTGGTAAAGTATGGGGTGTGACCTGTAGAGTGGATGGCAACATCAACAGCCTAAGGCACAGGTGTTAAACTCGGTTCCAAAAGGGCCGCAGCTCTACACAGTTTAGTTCCAACCCTAATTAAACACACCTGATCAAACTAATTGAGTCCTTCAGGCTTGTTTGAAACCTACAGGTAAGTGTGCTTTAGCAGGGTTGGAACTAAACTGTGCAGGGCTTCGGCCCTCCAGGAGTTGAGTTTGACACCCCTGGCCTAAGGTATCAAAACATTTGTGCTGCCCATTACATTACAAACCACAGAAGAGGGCAAATTATTCATAATCCAGCCTCCACATCAAAGTTCCTGAAAGCAAAGAAGGTCAAGGTGCTCCAGGATTGGCCAGCCCAGTCACCAGACATGAACATTATTGAGCATGTCTGGGGTAAAAAGAAGGAGGAGACATTGAAGATGAAACCAAAGAATCTTGAGGAACTCTGGGAGTCCTGCAAGAACACTTTCTTTGCCATTCCAGATTACTTTATTAATAAGTTATCGGAGTCATTGCTAGGATGGGTATCATTAAGGTTTTAATGGTATTACTACTTTTATCGATACCACTTATCGATATATATATATATATATATATATATATATATATATATATATATATAAACAACAAAAAAAATCATTATGCTAATGTAAGTACAGATAACAGAACCATTAACGTCAGATTTATCGATACTTGGGTCTTTTATAATTGAGCACCGATACCGATAAAGTATTGAGTTTCGGTATCCATCCCTAGTCATTGCAGAGATGTATGGATTCAGTCGTCCAAGCTTTTGGGGGTCATACACAATATTAATTATTTTTCCACTGCACATAATAACATAAAAACATAAGCATAATCTAGAGGACTTTGCCTTTCATATTAGCCACTTCTGATACCAAATGATTAACTAGAAGTCAAGTTGTTATTTGTTGTTCCTAAAACTTGGATAGGCAACAAGACTTTTGTCAGGTAGTGTAGCGATCAGAAAGTAGTCACTGACTTTTTTATAGTTGGAGAAAAAAAAAAAAGAATATATATATATATATATATATATATATATATATATATATATATATATATATATATATATATATAAATATAAATAATAGAGTAAAGAAAATCACTTTGGTTTTCTCTGTATGAATATCATTCAAGGAACAAATAAAGGTACTGCATTTATTTGAATTATTTCTACTGTCATTCTGCACTCACACATACACTCTCGATTTAATTATGAATACAAAAACAATTAAAAATGCAAATAAACCAAACAAGAGGGCCCACAGAAACATACGATTATTTTTATTCATAAGCTCACCAGCCCGCATAAAAAAGCAGAATGCCGATTTCACCATCAACAATAGATTCAATGGTTCATGCATTCTTACCTCCTCCTCCAGCCAGTCATTGTACTGTACAATGCTTGCCATAGCAACATCAGCCCCTTTCATGTAAAACGTGATGTCGCCGGTCGCCTCCTCCTGAAACACAATCAAGTCAACAGAGAATGCTTATAAACATATACCAATAATATTTAAATCATAAGCACTTCCAATTGTAGAACTCGAAACCACAATGAATGGGCATTGGATTTGACTGAATTGATGCCAGTGTGAATTATCAAGTAGTACAACACGGCATCTGTGTACGTCTGTCTGTCTGTCTGTCTGTCTATATATTTATTTATTTATGTAAATATATATATTTATTCTGTTTTTATATTAATTTCAACATCGTTTTCTAGTAGATACATTATATGAGAAACTTGATTTGTTTACTAAATAAGTGGACCTAATTAGATTTGCATTATAAAAACTAAATCAAAGTTAAAACGTTATTATTTTTAATTTTATGTTTTAAGTTACTTTACTCCCCCAAAATCATTTCGTATAAATCAATGACTGTAAAAAATATGGACGACGCGACAGCCCCTTTTGCCATTGAACGCCTTGAGGGCAAAACGCCTGCTTGACGGGCACAAACTGTCGCAAAAGACTGCTGAAATTGGAGCCAGACATGCGCAGAAGGACTGTCTGATGGAGCCAGAGGAGGAGCCGCGATAATGAGCGGAGTCGAGCTTCCAACCAAACGCTTTATGTAAAATCAACCACGCCCCCCGAACTTCTCACTCGACTGCCGGTGTCTGCACTATAACAAACGCTCACTGATGTAAATAGAAGCACTTACATTAAAAAACACAATAATATACGGTTTAAAAACGGTGTGATGTAAGCTGTTAAACTTTAATAAAAGCAATACATGGTGGACTGCAGTAATAAACGATCTTTTATACACTCTAGCCTGAATATGAGCACAAATAATATATTCTCTTATTGTTATATTTGTTGTTGGTATTTGTTATCTTCATAGGGGTAGAAATAACACTTGTAAAATATGAACAATAACATATAAACAACACGTACATTTTTAGAAAGGTTTTTATTTTTAATTAGCCATCAACAGAACCCAAAATATAGCCTACACACCATAACGATTTACCATGCGGGAACAATCGTGCGTTTAGAAGATAAATACAGCAAGATTACTAAATATCAACAGGATATTTACACATCCCAACCCTGCAATTTGTCAATTTGTGCAAAAAAACTTTGCACTATTAATACAACGTCTATCTGCTGTAACATCACTAGTATATTGTTTATTCATTTTCGCTTGAATTGTTTATTTATTTAATTTTTTTGCCTCCGTTTTCATTTGGTTTATTCGATGCCTTCATTATATCTGGCAACGAGGAATTTACATTCTTTTTAATGTTAGCTGGAGTGTTCAAATAAAACGCCAACAGTAAATGATGTAAATAAATAATATCTAACATTTACAGCTCTATTAGGTTATATAAGATTCGATTTCAAGAACCTTATAATGATTTATAACAGCAAATTCAGTAGATCACTTAATAACATGCCAAAACTTAAAATGCAGAGACGTCCTATAAAGCAAGTTCAAATAACCTTACAGGAGGTCAACGTGGAGATTATTATTTAAACACAAAGAGAATTACTGCTAACGATCTCCTGTATACCCCGTACTTAAATGGGTTTATTTTATTGTGCAGTTTTATTGTCATTTTCGTATTTATTATTATTATTATTTAATACTTGTGCAATCGATACAGGTTTATTGTTATTTATTTTGTCCTTTATTTAAATAATTGCTATGCTGTTTGCATCTTTATTCAAAGGTTAAACTCAGTGATACACTTTGCGTTCACATAGTAGCATGCGTTTGTTGTTATATCAACAAAAATGGGTGTAATAACGTTAACAAATGTGAGGGTTTTATATAATGAAGATTCAATCGCGCCAGCTCCAGGCATCAGCGCATAACCTAGTCGCGGCGTCGCGGGCTGATTCCGGCTCGCATGCGGCAGAGCCTGCTCGCTCGGCCGCCGCATCTGGCTCAATTGACTCAGGCTGGAATCGGGCAGTGAGTCCAGGCATCCGGAGTAGGTCCAGCAGAGGTAGTCAGTCTGAGGGGTAAGTCTCCGGCAGGCAAGAACTGGCCCCAGTGTATTTTGCTATCTGGGTGGCTAGGCGTTTATTAGCAAACTAATAAAGCCCGAAAAAAGCTCTGACCTTAGCGAATAAACAGTGTTCCACCAGATCATGTATGTCAGAAACTGTAGTTTACTGCTGAACTCATTTTGTCATAGTAAAATATCACAGAAATCGAATAATAACACTTCAGTCTTCTACCGAAGCTCAGACGCCGCGCTTTGAGAAACTGTCAATCACTGCTGTTAATCACGATGACACGCCCAGCATTAAATTACTGCTAAAAACAAACTGTTTACAAAAATGAGGATCTGCACCTATTTCAGCATAATAATCAGTGCCTTAATCGACCAGAACCATCTTTCGGGACATTTTATTGCAAGTGTAATTAATTTTTTTATTTGGGCTCAAGTCTCCTTCATTAACACGGAGGAGGCGGGCTTTATGACTTGTACTGCAGCCAGCCCCCAGGGGGCGATCTAACGGCCGAGACCTTCACTCAAACGCAGGCTTGCGGCACACTTGGTATAAATCTGTAGATTTTTTACAAAAATTTTCCACAGATTCCTTCTGGCCCTTATTAAAAGTTTGAAAAAGGAATTATCTGGAACAATTCCACACAAAGTCAAAAGCCGCAAACATTAGTTATGTTTTCATCCAAAGTTGCAAATTTAGTTTAACCTTTAAATAGAGCATTTGCGAATAATACACTTTCATTTCAATGTGTTTAAGATAGGGTTATTAAACGTAATGACTTTACTACTAAAATATTAAAAACGTACCGCTAACATTTGAACGTTGTTGAGCTGGTTCTTAAAAACTGCCGATTGGCCATTGTGTTCACATGCTTAACAGATTTGACTGTGTTTGGCCCTAATGATCATGATCTCATCACTCTTGGATAATTTTGGACATTTTTAACAATGCGCTCTTTTAGACACCTCCTTTTTAGAGTGGAACACCCATCAGTCCACAAAGTGGCGCAATAGGATTCGCTATTTAAACGTTGAGCAAACCGTGAAAATTAGGGTTGCGCTGGTCTGAAAATAGCAACAAAATCATGCCAAACACGTCTTGCGCCTTACTGCACTGGGTGTATGAAAGGGCCCTGGGTGTTTACACAAACACGAAAACAGCAGCATTTTTTTAAAACTTCCATTTCTATCTTGTTGTACCATTTTTTTGTTTCTTTTTTTAATTAATGGAAACAAAATATTTACTTGAGAGTAGAAAAACCCATATCAAAAAACCCAACCAATACCAAACCCTAGTAAAAAAACAAGCAAAATGCATAAATAGTTTCCAGTATTTGGATGAAAACTTTGTCGTGTAAAAGACCGCTTAGGTACTGAGACAACACACTTCAGGGTCCTGAAGTAAATAACGCCTTGCTCAACAAGATAAGACACAAGCCAGACTACAAAGGAAACTATTCCTTTTTTTTGTAAACAGTGTTTGAATTTAGATAAATATGTAATCGTAAACATTTACAAAACGCATAACTAGAATAACTAAGACGCACCCTAACAATGATACCCATCCGCTTGCTCTCAGAGGTGAAGGGGAAGATCTGGAGGATGTAATAGGTCAAGATCTGTCCGGCTGGGGTCTTCAGCTGGAGGGACGTCAAGTCTCTGTTCACAAGAGTTAAACCTACACTCTCAGTCCAGCGTACCAGAGCCACCTACATAACACAAAAAACATTTGCTTCAACTGATTGTTATACACATAGTCTATTTGTTACTTTTTAAACAGCTACATGGAATATTTTGCTCTAAAAAAATCATCTTTAAAGAGGCTAGCCACAGTGGAGTTAATTTATAATGTATTTTATTTGGCATATTTACTGCAATATAAAGTTAATAATTAAGAAGGTAATATAGATGTTGATTGTCTGCTTTAAAAAAGTCTGTGTTTTGCATTTGTACTCTATAGTTGCAATAGCAAATCAAAAAAATTATTTTAAAAACAAAAATTAAATTAAACAAAATGATGCGACATGTAAAAAAAAAGTTGTTTAAATACTACAGTTAAATTTTAATATTAAATGAATTAAATGAACTAAATTAAAATCAACAGCATACACATTAAAAATATTTTAATACCTGAAAAAAGGAAAAAAAAAACAGAAAGTAAAATAATGTATTACAATTCAATGACTAAACAGTGACTAATACATTAAAACAAATTAAGTATATAATGCATATGGTTACTATTATCATCTTTATTATTATGATTCCATCAAAAAAAAAAAAAAACAAGTCATAAAAAAAGCTCATGATCCAAACTAGGTCCAGGTGTCTCGTTTATAAAACTGCACAGAAATCTTCCTAAAAGTGAACATATGACATAATACATTTATATTTATTTATTAATGACCATGGCTCATATGAGTTAAAGTGGTTCAATTAAGGTGCTCTATGTAAGTTTTTGACTCTTCCAAATCATAACAATACCATAATGTGTTTACAGATATTTAAGAAACATGCAAGCGAACATGCCTGTTTATCCGAAAAACAGCCGGAATGTCTCTCTATGTTTTGGTCCCTTAAACCCGCCCAATGCCAATTTAAACAAATTATATTTCAGAACCCCAGGTTGCCTTTGTGGAAAATAGCGAATTTCATTCAATGAAGACTCTCAAAGTATGCATCCGCGACTAATAATGTGACCTCCGGTGGACAGTATCAACCTTCGAAATGAGACGCAGATTTAGAGTTCCAAATGAGGAGGTTATTAATCAGCAAATAATATAAATATTAAAAACGTAAACATTTTGTGAGCAGGTTACATTTTAACACCATGTCCTAACAACACGCTTTGTGACAAGATTTGCAGTGATAAGCAATTTGTGTGTCTGCACCAGATGCAAAACAACAGAAACATTTAAATACAGCCATTCAGAACAATGCACTCACTGCATTACAACGAAATAGTAAGGTTTATCTAATTTATCTGAGGTTTAATCTAAGGTTTTTCTAAGGTTTAATCTAATTAATACATATAAAAGCTTTTTAACATTATTAAATGTGCATGCTAAATCACTGATATGTGTTGGCTTGCACTGAGTCACAGTTCTAAAGATCAATTTCATCGATTTATTTTATTTTCAACATCTGAGATAAACCATATATCCTGCTGCTTTCAGTAGTATGGCAATAAATGGCATTCAAAATCACATTATTAGCATTTAAAACTGAATAAAGCACAGGAGGTGTACTTTAGAGAAACACTGTTAATCCTGTCGTTCAAAAATATTCAGGCCGTTTCTAAAATAAAAATGTCCGGTGTTAATTAGGACAAAACTCCTTTTAATATGGAAAATATTCCTTCTTTCGCATGCAGTGGTATTTAGTTAGGAGACAGTGTAGGCTTGATAGTCAGACTTGTGCCTATTGATGTAGTCAATCTGGCATGTGGAGTTGTAAGAGGAGGGGACGAGTTGTTTAGAATTTGGAGTGCAATACCTAGTTCAACCGCTGAATGTCAAACTTACAGGACTCTATTTTAACTATTTAGGCGCAAAGTCTATAGCGCATGGCGAAAAAGCATTAAGGGCGTGTCCGAATTCACTTTTGCCATTTTAAGCACAGGAAAAATACGCTCTGCACCACGGGGCATGGTCTAGCAGGGTTAGGCTTATTCTCTTAATGAGTTATGGGAGTATTTTGAAAAAAAATTAAAAATAAAATCAAAATCAAAAAATCAAAAATAAACAATCAGAGTCTAATCTCCCATTCCCTTTAAGAGTCAGTTGTGCCGCACCATAACACATTTGCTATTTACATGGAGGACTTTGTAAATGGAAAAACTCAACGCTTCACTCACAAGACAACAGTTAAACTGGAACACCCATCAGTCCAAAAAGTGATGCAGTTGAATTTGCATTAACAACGTGTTGAAAAATGGCAAAATTAAGGTTGCGTTGTTCTGAAAATATCAACACATCGCGGGTGTATGATAGGCCCCACATACTGCACTTTAAAGTCAATATTTAAGTTAAATATTTTTACTTAGAACTATGTACATTCAAAAGGTCTGTTTTTTAAAAAAAGCACAACTTTTGTGAGGAAAGTGGTGTACGCACAAATTCCACTACCGTTTTGTGCATACGCCATATTTATGAAACTTCGTCACTTTCCAACCTTGACTGTACAAGATGCCACAGCTGACAGCTCATGATGAGAAAAATAATAAGGAAAACCACAGCATTAAATTAAAAAAGTAATACCTAAAATAAAAATGTTTTGACCCTCTTAATGTACGATTTATGTCAAGAGCAAACGACTAACCAACTCATCCAAATTATACATTTAAATTCCTCTGCAGCCTTATGATTATCTTATGATCTTATTTCCCTGCCCTTACACACATCACAATGCTACTACAACTCTCATTTATGACATTTCAATGCGATATGACTAATTAGCCTGTCTTTTACCAACCTGACAGTGCTAAATGATGCCCTAAAGATCACGCGCAAGCACACACACTCTCACACACACACAGTGTAAATGCCTTCAGGAGACGAGCAGGGAACTGTTTTACGACACAGGGGAGAGCCTTTAATACACTCTATCAATCATTTCAGCAGTACAGGAAGAAAAGCTGTAATCATAAACCAAGATCACTGCGCCTTCAAGAAGTGGAGAGGACTGGAACCGCACCATGTGACCTACGACCACATGAAGACGTGGCTGTTATTTAATAAAGAGACCAGATGTGACAGGAAATATGATACGACGTCATAAAGCAGGCAAAGTAGAGATGGTTTTTATCGGACTGTGGAGATTCATCAAGAAATATGCTGCGAGAAGTTTATCTCAAGTCTCAATAGCTTTCGCTTATCGTTTTTCTAACATGTTGTTTCATGCTTTTTGTGAAATGACTTTTTGACTGTTGGTCGTTTGTTATGACTGCCGTTTAAAAAAATATATTTCTCAAAATTGCATCGAGAAACAGCAATCACTTAAATATTGCACAAAATTTTACATACGACCATAACTAGAATTTTTGTTTTGTCATTCATGTATTGCTGTTATTAAATATGAATTTGTCTTTTTCATCAGCTCTGATAAAAGCATCTTCACAAAGGCTAGTCATTAATTATTTAATTTATAATTGATTTATTTGGTTAACTAAATAATAAGTAAAAAAAAAAACATTCTTTTAAAAATAACTAATTTAATTAAATACACAATAACTGTTTAAAAAAACTTCTGCAATGTAAACATATGAATATTAATTCATATTAACATATGAATATTAATAATAACATATGAATAATGTAATTAATGAATATTAATTAAATAGTAAACATATGAATAATAAAATTAAAAACAAACAAAAACAGACAAATGAAAAAAATTACATTGTTGAAATACTACAATTAAATGTTATAATGTATTAAATGAACTAAATTTAAAAAAAAACAGCAGCATACACATTAAAAAGTAAGACATTTATACTAAAAAAGAAATAAAAATATAGAAAGTAAAACTAATTAAAATTAAATGACTAAATATAGACTAATACATTAAAACTAATAATAAAATTGCACACAATTTTACACAGGACTATAACTAGAACAACATGATAATGCATTATATTTTTGTCATTTATGTATTGCTGTTATTAATTATTAAATACGAATTAGTCTGCTATTCATTTATTTATTTTCTTTTCAGCTTAGTCCCTTTATTAATCTGGGGTTGCCACAGCAGAATGAACCGCCAACTTATCCATCACATGTTTTTTACGCAGTGGATGCCCTTCCAGCTGCAACCCATCTCTGGGAAACATCCATACACACTCATTCACACTCATACACTACAGACAATTTAGCCTACTCAATTCACCTGTTCCACAGGTCTTTGGAATGTGGGGGAAACCGGAGCACTCGGAGGAAACCCACGCGAAGGCAGGGAGAACATGCAAACTGCACACAGAAATGCCAACTGACCCAGTCAAGGTATGAACCAGCGACCTCCTTGCTGTGAGGCGACAGCACTACCTACTGTGTCACATAGTCTGCTACTCTATCTATCTATCTATCTATCTATCTATCTATCTATCTATCTATCTATCTATCTATCTATCTATCTATCTATCTATCTATCTATCTATCTATCTATCTATCTATCTATCTATCTATCTATCTATCTATCTATCTATCTATCTATCTATCTATCTATCTATCTACAGTATCTATCTATCTACAGTATCTATCTATCTACAGTATCTATCTATCTACAGTATCTATCTATCTATCTATCTATCTATCTATCTATCTATCTATCTATCTATCTATCTATCTATCTATCTATCTATCTATCTATCTATTTATCTATCTATCTATCTATCTATCTATCTATCTATCTATCTATCTATCTATCTATCTATCTATCTATCTATCGATCCATCCATTCATCCATCCATCCATCATTCCATATTTATATTTTGTTTAGATTAACACCTATTTTTTTAGCGTTTATATTTTTTTATCTATATATTTTTTTCTTTTTATCTCTATCGTCATTAAAAATGTCAGTAATATGTTGATACCAATCTATATTGTTCATAATTAGCCTATGTTATTTTTTACACATACACATTGTTAAAATGACAAACACGCACACGTACACGCACACACACACATATATATAAATACATGTACAGATAAAT